CCCAACAGAAAATCGGGACTGGCGACCCTTAGGCAATCTCCCTGGAGCATCCCTGCGGTTTTGGCAACACCTGCAGCTGTATTAGACTACGCTTCTCCTTTGGACACCTTCTATGACGCCGAGAGGAAGGTGCTCTAGCCTGGGCAACACAGTGCCTTCTCCTTTTTGCCCAGGCTAATATGGAACGAAGAGGACACTTCGCCTTTATTAAAAGGAATCAACACGGAAGAAGGCAGTTAACGGTTTTAAGCTTTTATCTGATTGACGTAAAGACAAAGCGCCAGGGGCCTTCTTCGACGGTGAGAGAGATACTCTTATCTCATTGTTCAGCTACCGCCCGTCTCAAGCTGGGCAGCCCCTAGCCAATAAGGTGCTGTTCCGTCACAGCCTCTTGCCTCATGGAGGTGCATGAGGCTTACGGTGCTCTCTGCCGGAAAGGAAGCCATTCACTCTGCAACCATAACAAATTATCAAGCGCTCTCAGATTTGGGAGCTGGAATATAAGGACAATGACTGGCTTGGCTAACGACTATGGAACTAGAAAAACGTTTATGATTGATAATGAACTCAACCGTTTAAATATTGATATTGCAGCCCTACAGGAAACACGACTGACTGATTCAGGCTCCATACGAGAAAACAATTACAATTACACATTTTTCTGGCAAGGAAGTAAACCTGAAGATCGACGTTTGCATGTAGTCGGGTTCGCTGTTAACAACCACCTGCTCAGCTACATCGTGCCTCCTGCCCTTGGCACAGATAGATTACTTACAATGAAACTTAATACTCTTACTGGTGCTGTTAACATAATTTGTGCATGTGCCCCCACACTCTCTGCGGAGGCTAGTGTTAAAGCCAGTTTCTATGGAGAAGACCATTATGGAAGACATTCCTACTTCAGAGAAAGTCATAATACTCGGTGACTTCAACGCAAGAGTCGGTACCAACTTTACCACGTGGCCCACATGCATTGGAAAATTTGGAATTGGAAAACTTAATGAAATTGGCGAAAGATTGCTTGCCTTTTTTTGTCTACACAAACTGTGCGTAACAAACACATTCTTTTACACAAAACCACAACATCGAGTTTCATGGAGACACCCAAGATCTGGTCACTGGCACCCGCTGGATTTGATTTTGACACGGCGTTCCAGCTTAAATGATTTTAAGATCGCTCAAACATTCCATAGTGCTGTCTGCAAAACTGATCATTGTCTTGTCTGCTCTGTGGTCAAAGTTTCCCCGAAGAAAACATATCGGACAATGCTATCGGCAATAAAACGTATCTCACAAACCAATACAAAATCCAAGTTAATCCATTTTAACGAAGCATTGACAAAATCTTTAGAAAACTGCTCAATTAATGATGATCCAGAAGCCCTATAGAGTCATATTAAATCAAGCATTTTAGAAAATGCCTTCTGCATTTTTGGAAAAAGTCATAGAAAGTCTGAGGATTGGTACATCCACTACCAAGAAACCCTACATCCACTTCTGGAAAGAAAATCCCAGGCTCTGCTGAACTGAAACTAAATCCTAATCCTGCGAATATATGAATAATCTCAAAGCAACTCGTTCTCAGTTTCAAAAAACAGCTCGTCACTGTGCCAATGCTTTGTGGTCTAGCATTTGCGAAGACATTGAACATGCCTCGGCTGTTGGCAATAATAGAAAAATGTATGAAGGAATCAAAATAGCAATTGGTCCTCAATTCAAGAAGACTGCACTACTGAAATCTTCTCCTGGCCATCTGATTGTTGTACCCAAGTAACAGCTTGAAAGATGGATCGAGCACTACTCTGTATCTACGCTAGGGAAACACTTGTTAGCAGAGCGGCTAAGGTTGAATTTTAGGTAGAATCGTGCACTTCTGGAAGAAAGCATGAAACTTCCCATAGTGATACTATGACACCTAAAGATCATTAAAAAAATAGACCCCAAAAAATAACGCCTCCTAATGGCCGCCACCTTGAAATCCAATATGGCCGCCAAAATAATTGATTTTTAAGCCAATATATTCATATCTACAGCACAAGTCATTGCCAATTGAAGATCATTACCCATGTTTTCAATATCAAGGAGTGTAATGCAATCATCAGAAATTATGTCAGATGACGCCGCCCTATTGGATTTCAAGATGGCCGCCAAATAAATGATATTTTTGTCAATATTCATATCTACATGTGTACCTACCACTGTCAATCAAAGACTGTTGCCCATGTTTTCTATATCAGGGACTACTCTGCATCCATCAGAAATTATGTCAGAAGACCACCATATTAAATTTCAAAATGGCCGCCATCTTGAAATTTAATATGGCCGCCAAAATAATTAATGTTAGCCTATGTATTCATATTTACAGCACATATCACACCAATCGAATATCATATAGATTAGCTTAGTGAGTTAACCCAATAAAACCTACTGGAAAATGTTCGGCATAGTACAAGAATGGCCCCTACCAGACATTTTAATGGTGGAAGTAATATTTCTACTCCTTGCCAGATTATTATTAGATGATGCAGCAAAACATATGTAGGATATATAGTGTTATTTATTGTCCAAAAGAGTACTCAATGTTAAAAAGAGGTTTCCTGTTTTTTGTGTGAACATGGAAGCAAATTTTTTAAAATCACGTTTCTACAATGAGTCTTTGGCTTCATTAGTATTTTAAATGAATCAAGAATCAATCAGTTAATTGATTGGATAAGGCTTTTTATTATCGGCACACATTTATGATGTAACCTTACAAAACAAAAACAAAAGCATAAACAAATAATGTGTTCCGCCTTACACAATAGATAAACTGATGAAAACATTCAGTTGGAAAACTAGGAGGAAAAATACAATGGAAAATACTGGGACAAGATAGCCGGGGGAAATAGCAGTTGGAAAACAGCCTCAAGAAATAGTCTGGAAAAATAGCTGGATGGAAAAAAAATCCTCTAGTGGAAAAATCCGAAGGCGAAAATTAGGTGTCAAGTGCCATAGTTGTATTTTCTATGAATTAAAACCTAAAACCTTTTCGATTTTCAGTCTACTCAATCATCCAATCTTCCTGGGGAGAGAGATAGATGCAGATATTAAACATCATCTCTATTAAAGCTAGTTTTAGTATAAATGAAATTATGTAAACATAAATCAAATAATAAAATGAATAGTGTGAAGACACTAATATCGAATAGACCTTATGTCTATGAGATGGCTAATTATCATTTTCAAATGATATATAAACATAAATATTTGAAAGGAAAAGAAACAGAAAAGAAAATTAAAGAAAGAAAAATAAAGAACGGAAAGAAAAGACAAAACTGGAAAGGAAATGAAATAAAAAAAAGAAGTGCACGATTTTTCTCCTTAGCCGCACTACTATTGTATCTTTGCAAGCAATTGATGCAATTCCACAGTTACCCTTCCTCAATGAACTGGACGTTACTCCAACAGTTCTATAACTGTAAAAAGCAATTGACAATATCAAGAATGGCAAAGCAGCTGGTCGTGATAGAATTCCACCTGAAATCCTAAAGTGTGGTAAAGAAATTCTAATTCTTCACCTGCACAAGCTCCTAACTGCTTTTTGGAGAAGAGAGTAATTCCCAAGGATCTTAAAGATTCTATCATAGTGACCTTGTATAAAAGCAAAGGAACAGATCTGAGTGCAACAACTATCGAGGAATCTCATTGTTGAGCCTTGTTGGAAAAGTCTTTGCCAGAGTTGCTTTAAGTCGACTTCAAGTACTTGCAAACAGAATTTATCCTGAGTCACAGTGTGGCTTCAGAGCGAACAGATCAACAACGGACATGGTATTTTCTGTATGACAACTCCAGGAAAAGTGTCGAGAGCAAAATAAACCACTATTCATCGCTTTCATAGATCTTACGAAAGCTTTTGCCCTTGTCAGTCGGAAAGGTCTGTTTGCCATATTACCTCGGATAGGATGCCCACAAAAACTCCTCAACATAGGTCATGCTTTTCACGACGGAATGGAGGGTAGAGTAAATTTTGATGATACATCTTCCAGAAGCTTTGATATAAAAAATGGTGTCAAACAAGGTTGTATGCTCGCACCAACCCTCTTTGGAATCTTCTTCGCTATGATGTTACGACATGCTTTTGATTCTTGTGATGAAGGCATCTATATAAAAACCAGTTCAGATGGTGGATAATTTAATCTTAGCCGCTTGAAAGCAAAGACTAAAACATTACAACTTTTACTCAGAGATTTTCTCATTGTTGATGATGCCGCAGTGGTTTCCCATTCAGAAAAAAGGTCTCCAATCTTTAATGGATAAAACATCTTCAGCCTGTAATGAATACGGACTTACTATAAGCATACCGAAAACACAGGTGATGGCTGTCATTTCGCCAACCATGACTATCGACTCTGCAACTGGAAAATGTTAACACTTTTACTTACCTTGGTTCCAAGCTCAGTTATGACCTATCTCTTGATCCTGACCTTGAGGCTCGTATTGGCAAAGCCACTGCTACATTTTCACGTCTTCAAAAGCGTGTGTGGAAAAACAACTACCTCTCCATCCGCACAAAAATGCAAGTTTACCGTGCCTGCGTTCTTAATACCCTGCCCTATGGCTGCGAAGCGTGGACAACTTATGCCCTACACAAGGAGAGACTTAACACCTTTCATATGCGCTCTCTTCGACGCATCTTGGGTATAAAGTGGCAGGATAAGATCACGTCGAAGAGATATCGAGGTGGTCCGCCGATCTCAAATACCATCAATTGCCGTTCTTTTGCGGCAAAGGAGAATGCGCTGGATTGGTCACCTGAACAGACAACTGGATGGACGTATTCCAAAAGATATCCTATTTGGTGAACTGAGTGACGGCAAAAGACGTACTTGAAGGCCAAAACTGCGCTACAAAGATGTGTGCAAAAACGACATGCATTTACTAAACATTTACTCAAATCTTGAGAATGTTTATCCAAGGACAGATCTGCTTGGAAACAACAAATCTCTTGCGGCCTCAAACACATGGAAGACACAAGATCACAAAGTGCTGAGCTGAAACGACAACAACGTGAACGTGGTCCTGCTGTACCGAATACCACACCATATACATGCGCACATTGTAGGAGAGCTTGCCAAGCACGTATTGGGCTTATCAGTCACGAAAAGCGATGCAGACATAGAAATATGGAACAATTATAACAAAGATGAGATGTCCTCTAAACGCTGTATTGCAATCATCTACCAAGATGTGCATGCCAATCATAATAGTAAGATATAAAATAACAAGATCGTCGGCATAAAATAGACGGGATAGCCTTAAATTATTTAAACTCAATTTTTGATTACATGAGCTATCCAACATAACCGAAACATCACTCGTGAATAAATTGAATAACAGAGAACTTAGAATCACACCCCAGTTTAAGGCCATTAACGACAAACATTTTTTTTCCTTTTGTGGGGTCGTCCCACTTTTATTTGTTCCTTCATTGCCTTCAGAAAAAACGACTCACATTTTCATCATAAGGGTTGTCTTACCAGTACAGTATATAAATATTTTGTTTCTATCAACATTTAATGATTTATCCTAACTTGTACATATTTTTTTTTATTCCTTAACATCCAAAAACAAGTACACTCGCTACTCACAGGGTGAAACATTGGTTTATGCACTTGAGTTTTTTTATTGAGGCCTTAATAGTGAAGTTGATTTTTGTCGTGAGAAAACTTCTGCTGGGGCATGAACTGAAACCGGAATCCTGGGACCAGAACAGTGAACTGTGAAATTCTAGGACCAGAACAACACTCTTAACCAAAAGCAATTCAACTTCCCTTTAAATGAAAAAAATAAATAAAACTTAAACAATATATACGATAGAATAATAATTCATATAATAACTAAAAACATCAGATTTTGCATGCAGTGATATCGAAAACATTATAAAATAATAACTACAAACTGAAAATTGCAAGAATAACATCAGACAGGAGATGAAAAATGTTAGAAGAGGGCTTTACACAGCAGTGGTTGAAATAGCCTGATGATGATGATGATATAATAATAAAAAGCGAAACCTTGTAAATTTAACTCTTACAGTAAGATGAAATTGAAATAGAATTTAAGTTGTTTAACAAAAGGACTTGTATATTAAATTAGATTATAAGTTACTAAATTGTACCTTCTGTCACCTAGGCCTATTTTGTTTTCTACCTGTATAGGTTTTATCAACTTTTGACATTACAATCTAGAATAATTTGGCATAATTTAGCATAGTTTGCCATCACAACTGGCATAAATCGCGTCGCTGGCCACATTGCTACAGTATATAGTTAAAACAATATCACTGGTGCAAAATGCTTTTGACGGCTGTGATCATTCTTGTAATTTGAAAGGCATACAATACCGGCCTCGATTTGTATTAATACACTTTTTTCAGTAACGTGCACAAATAATCGTTCTATTATTGTTTTGATCCACAGCTAAAGTTTGGATAGCATCAGACGGTTGGGCAGATATATCTACACACTTTTATAATTACAGTAGTGTTGCGTCAGTGCTTGGTGTAACTATTAGCAGAAAACCACTCCCGAATCTTTTCGACCACCTTGCTAAATACAATACAATCCGGAAACACAACAGCCTTCATTTCCTTGAGAATTTCATGAAATGGATGTGTGATAATAAAATCTTAACGGAAAAAAATTGCAGTGACGAGATATTGTGCAAGGCTGAAAACAACAATAAGACTATCACTCTCATCGAATCTGCTGCAAAAACCTATCTACAGTTAGCTACTAACTATGAGGCCTATACAACATACATTGCCGTATATGCCATTGCTCAAGCACTTAAGGATATCCAGGAATGTTCGTCTGAAGAGGGACATTTAGACGAGTGTCCTGATATAAATAATCTAGATAGATGGCAACTTGTGACTTATTTGGAGAAAGTAGGATTCAGCGATAATCTGGGATCTAGTTTTCAGTTTTCAGAAGACAGACAAACTAATCCCTCGTACATTATCTTGAATGGTAAACGGTCAAAAGATGGAACATTTGAATTGGTCGAGGTGGGTTCGTATAAGCATGGCAAATTGGATATAGATAATTCTTCCATTTACTGGGGCAGTGAAACATACAAAGGCAATGTAAGTTTTCATTTGTTTATATTTTAACTAAAAGCAAGTTCAAGAGATTTTTCGCTATGCCCGACCCCTAAACGTGGTTGATAATATTAAAAAAAACCTCCTAAACATACAAAAACGTGTTTTTTGTAAGGCATGTAGTTCGTATTAATTACCCTAACAATAACACGTTGTAATTGGTCAGTCAATAATCATGACACCTCAAAATATCCATTCAAATGTCATCAAATCTTGGAAGTTGAGAAACATTGTAATTGCAGATTTGTGGTACTGTAATTGAATTGTGTTAATGTTTAAATACATAATTAAAAAATCGTTATATTAAAACTTAAATATCGGCTTAACACCTCCCATGTTACCAGTGCTTACTACCTATCGATGATAAAACAAAAAAAAACACACACAAATATTTTTGTGTTCAGTAAGTCCGATTGGATATAGTTTTTACGCTTATTCAATTAGTTTTTGGTTGTACTTCAAGTAAATTTTGTCATATGATCCTTAGTATATAACAACATCAAAATGATTGCTAAATACTTGATTGCTGATCAGAAAGGTTCACTGTTCGCTGGTTAATATCAGATAATAAAGTTTAAAACTTACTCCAAGTAATGAAATTCACACCATCGTGTTGAAAGTCAATATTTCGTCATTAACTATGGCATCATCATTCCTGATGGTTGCTGATCATTTTAAATAAATATTTATTTAACCCTTACGCTGCCAGCTCTTTTCTTATTCAGTCAACAAGAGCGCCAGCTGATAACATTACCTCCTAATCCCCTGTGCCAGCTAATTATTTAACAAGGTCATCGTAATGCTCATTTTTGATAGTGTATATTATTTATTACTATCAACTATATAAATGTTGATTATTATTATTATTATTATTATTATTATTATTATTATTATTATTTGCTTAATACTTCCTAAACTATGGAGATTATGAAAATATAAATCTAAAAAAAAATTACTCAGCATTAGTTGTTTTGTACAAACATGCTTTTATTTCTTCATTTTATTTATCATTTAGTAAATAAATAATAGGAATATTTTTGTCAATAGGCCTGTCACAAGTAGTATATTGGGCCTAGGCCTATTAGCAGAGCATGTGCAGGGATGGCGCCAGGATTTGCCCGACGGGTGGGGGGGCGAGGTCCCCGGCGGGCGATGTCCCGACGAGGAATCAGATTTCCCCGACGAAACCAAAGTGGGCGTAGTCGAGCTTTGATTAAAAAGTATCGAAAGGGGTCCTGGGGCGAAGCCCTCATAACATTTTGACAATTTAGGGGTTTCAAAGGCTTATTTAATCGATATTTTGATGTCGGCAAGTGTAGCTGACATAGTTTGAATCACACAAGCCACATTGGAATTTATATACAACGTATTGTTCAATAACAATTTTGGGTTTCCTTTCCTTCTTCTTTAAGACCTATTTTCTTACTTGTAAAGACTGGAATAATTTCCTTGTTAATTTTTTATGATCAAATTTCGTCTTCGTCGGTAAATAAACAACTTAAACAACTAAGCTCAAAAATTAATTCAAGCTATGTCGGCTACACTTGCCGACACCTAGATAGACTCGAAACCTCGATTTTCTTTTTTGTCAATATATTTTGTTTTAAAATTATATAGTAAACGTCTGTTAATTCGTAATATTATTATTATTATTATTATTATTATATCATATTATATTTATACAATTTATAGTGAAAATTAGGAGATTAAAAAAAATAAAAGAGTGAACCGTTTTGGCCATTGTTGAAGCAGTTCACCCGACTATGCAGAGACAACCTACTATTTTTGAAAAGACCAGCATTAATAATAAATTTTTTGACCGTTCTGTCCGAACTTAAAGGAGATGGAATTGTTGTGTGGACCTGAGGTTGTATTTATGGGTTGGGGCAGTTAGTAAAGTCTGTTTGATTGGTCTGTTATTTTTTGGAAGTATTGTCTGCATAGTCAGGTGCGTCGGTCTGCCAACTTTGGGATATCGACGAGGGCCAGTGCTCTATCATAGCTTGTATCAGGGACAATGATTCGCTGCGCTCTGCGCTGGATCTGCTCAAGCTGATTGCATTGACAATTAGAAAGCCCTGTACCACACACTGGAGCAACATATTCTATAACTGGTCGAATAATACTAATATAAAAATAAACAAGGGCACTCTGATTGAGGCCACACCGTCGCAACTGTTTAAGAAAGTACAGTCTGGAGTTAGCCTTAGACGTTGTAATATCAACATGGGCTTGCCATGATAAATTTTTATTGGTTGTTAATGTGTATACGAGACAGGGCCCAAGAGTAGGCTGTCGTAGCCAGAGATTGAATTTTACACGGTTGTCCTGGGACCACACGATCGTAAACAGTTGTGTCGTCCATGTATTTAATACATGGTTCATCGTTTAAAATGGTTATTGACAAAAATAATGAACATCACAGGTCCTAGCCATGAACCCTGGGGGATACCTCCGTTGGGGGATATCCACGAGGACACCATATTGCCTACTTTGACATTATGTTGCCGGTTAGTCAAAAAAGATTCCAACCAATGGACTAAGTGTTCATCAATCCTCAGGTTTCGCAGTTTTTCAATTAAAAAACAGTGGTCTACAAGATCATAGGCCTTCTTAAAATCAGTAAGTAAAACCCTTAATTCTTGACCAGAATCTGTGGCTGAAAAGTATTCGTTAAGAAATAATATAAGTGCATCCACTGTTGAAACTCCCTTCATACAGCCGAATTGATTGAGATGGATTTTATCTTTGGCTTGAGCCCATATCTTTTCACCAATCATACTTTCAACAACCTATGCCATGACAGGTGTCAATGCAATTGAGCGGAGTTTACTCTCAATATTTTTAGGGGGAGATATTTTAGGAATGGGGACCAGGTCGGCGCATTTCCACATCTGGGGAACATAACCCTCCCTCAGACTAGCATTGGCAATAGCACAGAGTGGTCCACTTAAAATATCGGCACTCTCTTTCAAAATCCACGGTTGGATCCCATCTGGTCGAGGCGCTTTGTTGCACTTGACCCGTAAAAGCTTCTACTTAACAGATTCCTGTTCAATAATAAGGTAGTTGGCGACTTGTTAGACACTAGTCCCCTCTTCATAGGCCCAAGTGGTTGAAAGGAATTTTGGTTATAGACCCAAAAAAGGTATTAATTAATTCAGCTAATTCCTCCTTATTGTCCTTACAGACAGAGTTTGCCAGTCCCGTAAGTGGATTATTGCTATTACCAAGATTGATAAATCTCTTAGTATTTCGCCACCAGGATCTGGTGTCGGACTCCAAGAGGGGGACAATATTTTTTTGATAAAACAGGGAACGGAGGGATTTGGAGAGGCGATTAACCTCATTTCTAAGTCTACGAAATTCAATATTATCACCAAGAAAGGCTTTCTGGCGTTTATAAATTAATACCTTAAAGCTGTTAGTAACCCATGGTTTGTCCATTTTATATTGTTTAACACCTTTCATAAGAAAGTGTACATCAATTTGCTCCTTAAGTCTGTTATTTAGAAATTGAAGCATGCTGGAACTGTCTTTGAGGTAGTAAAAATCTTGCCACCGGGTGTTATAAAAATCCTCAGCAAATCTGACCTTTAAAGATAGAATTCGTCCATTGATGTATAAAAAAGATCAGGAATTGATCCGTGTCTGGTAGGTGTATTCACCAATTGTTTCAATGGGAAACTTTTAAGTTGTTGATCCTTCATGCGATTGAAGTCACCAGTGACTACGATACCAGTATCCGGGTGTTTGGAACAAATACTTTCAAGACAGCGAATAATATGAGAGCTAATCAGAAAATCATTTAATCCTGGAGGATGATAGATCAAGCCAACTTTTACGTTAGCTATTTTCCGGAGTAGACGATTTGGCCGCATGGTCATCCACAGACTTTCAAAATCATCGCCCTGGAGCTCATACCAAACCTTGTACTGGATACTATCCTTCAAATACAAAATGATGCCCTCTCCATTCCGTTCAAGCCGACGAATGAGTATCCATTTAATTTAACCACGTTATCAGGCATGCGAGGTTTCAAATGGGTCTCGGTGATAGCAACAATGTCTGGTGAGGCCAGTCAAAACCCTGACTGAGAGTTCATCTACCTTATTCGGCAAAGATAGTGCATTGGTAAAAAGAAACTGAGAAATTCCAACGAAGAGTAGCTGGTATACTCACAAGGTTTTCCTTATTACATCCACGGCTAGGCGTATTAATCTGTAACTGTGGCATGTACACCAACTGTGCGGTGTGCCGACAAGCATTTTTATAGAAGGAAACATGATAATTGAGACAATTATCATTGAACAAAAGTGACAGTAAACGGCATCCATATGAGCCTAAATGCGTATTAAGTACACAATGGCATTGATGATTTATAATACAACAATAATTTATTGTGAAGTTTTGACTTTTCTGTAATTAAATACTTGTTTTACAGAAACCATTAGCAATATGTAACAATGACTGTAAACCTGGGACAAGGCGTCAATATATCGAGAATGAGCAGAAGTGTTGTTTCAGTTGCCTGCTGTGTTCAGTGAATACCATTACAGATATTAAGAGTAAGTACTGCGCATGTGCAAAGCGATATACAGTATAACCTTAATAATTTGTGACGGAAGCACCAATTCACTGTCATGGGGATGCTAATCCACAGGACTTGCCATACGGGCATAATCTCTAGTATACTTGTGAGGTACCGCTGGTTCATTAAAATTTCTTTAATACAGTATAGCTTATACGCAACTATGTTATTGACTATTACTGCTGAAAATCAATATTCGATCATGGCCTCCATGATTTGATTAAGTATATTCAATCTCCATTCAATCCCTAAATTCATTTTCTTCCCTTTATAGATGCTGACACGTGTATGGTGTGTGGACAAGACCAGTACGCCAATAATAACCGGACAATATGCCTGAAGAAGAGCCCGGATGTGATTATGTGGAACAACACTATATCTGTCATTGTCTGCATCTTTAGCGTTCTAGGAAGCTTGACAACTATTGCTGTAGCGTACATTTTCTACAAATATCGAAGCACACCCATTGTCAAGGCAGCTAGCCTATCCCATACCTTTGTCTTGGCGTTTGTTTTGTTTTTGAGCTTTCAGATGGTTTACTTCTACATAGGAATTCCAACAGATACCCTGTGTAAAGTTAAGTCGATCATAAACAGGATAAATCTTACGGTAATTCTAGGCATTTTCTGTTCCAAACTATACGTCATTGTAAAGATTGTTAATAATAGGCTAAACTCTATACCTACAAAACTCTTTTATCGGTATTCCTGGATGCTAGTTGCAGCTATCGCTTGTCTTCACCTAGCATTCAACGTAATCCTTGAAATCGCCATCCCCAGTCACGTTGTGTACGATTACAATAACTCATTAACAATTCTACCTATCTTCTGCAAAGAAACTGATGTTGGTTTTATTGTCACAAACATATACCAATTAATATTGTCTTTGATTTGCTTTATTTTTTCATTCCGCGCCCGAAACCTGCCAAGGAATTTCCAAGAAACGAGGTTTATATGGTTCATTATGTTTACATGGTGTATACTGGAAATCTTCTCATTTCCCGCGCATTTTGCAGCTGCCCCAAAGCTTCAGATATGTTTACAAGTAATATTTATTTCATTATTTAATTTCTTGACGCTTTCAGCATTTTATTTTCCAAAATGCTATTTTATTTACTTTCGTCCAGACAAAAATACAAGAGAAAATGTTGGAAAAGAGATCCTCAAACAAGGGACATCAAAACCCAGCAAATGCGGCGGTGTAGAGGCGTGCACCACAGCAGACGATGATGCGAGTTTATGTCATGAATTATAAAGAAACATATGGGGGAATTCTAATCCCCACAAATAAAAGCACTTTTTGTGCTTAAATCATAATAATAACACGGGTACCACCCCCTGTTTTTTTTCTTCTAAAAACAGACAGTATTTTATGTAAATTTGGTTTGTGTTTTAGGGACCTTTTCGAACTCTGCCCAAATTATAAAGCTTTATGAAAACATATTCCGTGAGTGGTCCATAAAAATCATAACGATGCCATATCACACCCACATATGCAAATTATAATTATTTCTCACAAGGCTCAATAGTATGGACAGGGTTTTACCAATTTGTACAAGATGCTTTAAGCTCTCGGTTCCACACCATTTTATTAAACTCAAAATAAGATTAAAAAAATTAATCTGGTCACCGCACGTCATCTTGTGTACCAAGCCAAACTCCAAAAACAAAAACATACTCAAAGATTTAATACATATTTAAATGGCATTTTTCTGTCGCTTTGAGAATGAAGCTAATAATAATAATAATAATAATAATAATAATAATAATAATAATAATAATAATAATAATAATGATAATAATAAGAATTTTATTTACTTTTTCTAACGATTAAAAACAACTCCACTTCCTACCGGTAGGCCTAAATCAGAGACTGTATGTGGAAAGTGTACTTGGTTTTTTTGTTTTTTGTTTTGTTTTGTTCTAATATTGAGCTGGATAAAGACATTGAAATGAACGAAACTAATAGGCCTACAGTACTTACAAGTTGTCATTCCTGAAGTAGCCTAAAAATGTTTTGATAGTATATTATTATTTACTATCAAACTATGATAACGGGCTCATTACAAAGGTACAGTAAAAAACAATATAAGTCAATAGTGACGTCATCACTGTAACTCGCAATGTTATTTGCCTATTCCCCAGCGTCCAATAATTTTGTATTATTGGACGCTCGGCTTGATTATTTTAAAGGTTCGTGTGCAAAAAAAAAAAAGTCCTCATTTTTTTGTTACCACCGCAAATACATCGCGCACCGCGATAAAAATTGAATTGTAATTGAAAATTGCTTTCGTAAAACAAGCTTCATAGAACCCAAAAAAGTTACTTCAAATTCAATATTAAGTATGAACAATTAAGGAATTCATTGAATCAATGGACCCTCTTAAACACAACAAAGTGAACGTTTAATAGAAATATTCTAGACCTATTAAAGACTCAGGGAACACATTTAGATGTAGGCCTACGACCAGGCAGGCCGCCCGGTCCTCCTTCAATGAATACCCTAATGGCAAAAATGTTAGAGAGGCAGTTGGCAGTTTCAATTGGTAGCAATACGACGATAGCTTATTAATGGCGTTTAAAAGCCTATTATTTATCTCAGATATAATAGTAAGATATAAAATAACAAGATCGTCGGCATAAAGTAGACGTGATAGCCTTAAATTATTTAAACTTAATTTTTGATTACATGAGGTATCCAAAATAACTGAAACATCACTCGTAAATAAATTGAATAACAGAAAACTTAGAACCACACCCCACTAAGGCCATTATCGACAAACATTTTTTTTTTCTTTTGTGGGGTCGTCCCACCTTAATTTGTTCCTTATTGCCTTCAGAATCAACGACTCACATTTCCATTATAAATGTTGTCTTACCAGTACAGTATATATAAATATTTTGTTTCTATCAACATTTTATGATTTATCCTAACTAATTTTTTTAATTCCTTAACATCGAAAAACAAGTACACTCGCTACTCACACCATTTTATTGAACTCAAAATCAGATTTAAAAATAAATAAATAAATCTGGTCACTGTACGTCATCTTACGTATCAAGCCAATCTCCAAAAACAAAAACATACTCAAAGATTTAATACATATTTAATGACCATATTTGATTATTTGGTTGCCGTATCATATTTATGTGGGAACCTACATTGCCAAAATATTTTCTTTAATTTAACCAAGTACGGTAACTTAGGTTGCAGGCCTTAATTTTATTGTGCTCAGTGCGCGCCGTACCAAATTTAATTGGCGTCCCACAATCTATTTCTAATCTGAACACTGTAAGAGGGCGCTGCGGTAGTCAGACGTGTTCTTTCGAACGGTATAAATTCTCCGTTATAGTGTGGCTTTGTAGGTTTTAATATTCTTAGTTTTCTCCAAATATTGCCTACTTAACACTCTTTAGGCACCCACTATTTACCTGATCCTATATATTTTTGAGATTTTTTCAAGATTTTTGTAGCTATGCCCCCGCTGTTAATTATGTCTGTAAGGAAGGCCAAGTCGAACGGGGACAAGTGTGGTGCTTGTGCTTCGGTAGTTTCGGAGAAAGATAAAGCGATCAATTGTGATTTTTGTAGCTTATGGTTGTCAATCGGGTATCTAAGAAAACTTATGATTGTCTTGTAGCGAGTGATCCGAATGTTCACCGGTATTGTAGATCCTGAAATGTTACTGCGGGTAATATTATGGCATCCTTTAGCTAGTATAAAATTAGCTCAAGACAACAAATTTTTTGATGTAGCGAAAACTAAGGGTCTCCGTTAGCAGTGACAGGACAAGGAGTGAGAGAGACAAGTATAAAAAACTAAAAGACGAGCTTAATCTTAGAATACAAAGGGGTGAACAAAACCTTATAATAAGATGTGGTAAAATTGTGAAGAAAAGTTTTCGTGAGGAAAATTAAAAATAAGCAAAATAAAGTTAGGAAAGAAATAAGAAGTAATATTTATTGGTCGAGATCAAGCAATTTTAAGTTTATGTACACAAACTGCGATTTATTTTTAAATAAGAAAGCGGAGTTAGAAGCCATTTTAGCAGAATATGATTTTCATTTTTTTTGCTCTAACTGAGATTTATCTAAAGTTTACACAATCGGCGGTTTCACATCTTGAATTTAATCTTAATGGTTTCCAATTGTTTTTACCATCAGAAGATTTAGTCTCTGGTCGCGGAGTAGTGATTTATGTGAGAAATGGAATCTCTGCCAGTTTGGTTAATCTGATAGGTTACATGCTTAAGTGTTGTTTGAACTTCGATCTGTTATATCATTACCTTTAAAACCTATTTTTAATAAACTTTTCTTAGAAGGTGTTGTACCCACATCCTGAAAGGAAGCATGGGTGGTTCCGATTTTAAAGAAGGGTAATAAGAATACTTTATCTAATTATAGGCCGATTAGTCTAACATCGATTGTAGGGAAGATTATTGAACGGATCATTAGAGATTATCTTATGGAATATCTTGAGACAAATAATTTACTATGTAAACCAATATGGTTTTAGGAGTGGCTATTCTTGTGCAACCCAATTATTTGAGGTACATGAGCTCTGTGGTCTACTTATATTGATAAATCTTATAGATTTGACTGTATTTATTTTGACTTTAAAACAGCTTTTGATTCCGTTCCTCATCAGCGTTTACTAGGCAAGTTACGTAGTTACGGTATTAAAGATAAAACTTTGAAGTGGATTGCGGAATATCTCGCTGGTCGTTCACAGCGTGTTTCAATAAATGGATGTCTATCTAGTAAAGTCCCAGTTATAAGTGGTATCCCTCAGGGCTCTGTTTTGGATCCAATTTTGTTTACTATGTTTATCAATGATTTACGTTTAGTATCTAACTCTTCCGTAAAATTGTTCGCAGATGATACAAAGCTTTTTAGAATTGTAGACTCGGTTGATGATAGACTCCGTCTCCAGGAAGATATTAATGCCCTATGTGAGTGGTCTTGAAAATGGGACTTGCCATTCAATAGTGACAAATTTAAAGTTGTTCACTATGGAAGAAATAATCCAAAATGTTCCTACTTTATGTTTGATATTGAAATTCAGGAAGTTGACAGTGTAAAGGATTTAGGAGTTACCTTTGATTCTAGTCTTAATTTTAGATTGCATGTTGCCGATATTTGTAAGAAAGCTAAAATGAAATTGGGCATGATAAAACGGTCTTTTAGATTTCTGAAGAAAAAAGGTCTATTGAAATTGTATAAGTCTATTGTGAGACTATAACCCAATTTATAAGAGAGAGGCAGATTCCTTGGAGAAAGTTCAACAACGAGCAACTAAGTTGTTTTCGGAGGCAAGGGATTTTCCGTATGAAGATAGACTTAAATTTCTGAATCTTCCAACTTTAGCGTTCTGTAGACAGATATCTGATATTCTACAGCTTTTTAAAATTGTCCATGGAATTGATAGGGTTTCGGGTGAATTATTTTTTTGAGTTTGATAAAGGTGCAAGAACTAGCGGTCACTCCTTTAAGATTAAACATCAGCACTGTAGGACACTTATTAGAAGTCGTGTTTTTTCATTTAGGTCAGTCTTGCTGTGGAATTCTTTATCGAATGGAGACGTTAACTCTAGTTCAATTAATTTATTTAAATCTGCAATTGAAGTACGTTTGGCTGACCATCCGTTCAAATTTGCGCCCTATGTTAAATTTTAAATATTCTGGTTTTTTTTTTTTTGGTTTTTTTTTCTCCGAGGGGCCTATAAGCATCGTTTTGCTTGGCCTCTATACCCAGGAGGCTCAGATTATAGAAGACTCTCTTGGGAAACAAGTAAACAAGTAAGCAAGTATTTATATTTTTTGGGTAGTTGTTAATTACCAGAACTTCAACCGAGAGAGGTGTGGATTTTTAGGGTGACGTCATATATAATCTTATGCAGTTCGCATTGGCCGAGCCGATAAGTGAAGGGCACCATAAACTTCAGTTTAAATGTCGACGCTGGTTCAACGGCTTACTCGCCATTTCGGCGGTGGAACAAGTGTTCTTGGACAAGGACTTTAAGCCGTAGGACCTTGTGATACGCAATTGCCCTATGTGCACTTCAAAGAACCCAGTACATCATTTGAGAAGAACAGGGGGTTACCAGGGTTAGGGAGTTGGGGGGTTCAGTATATGTCGTTTAATGGATATGTCACGTAGGATAGTGATTAAGTTCTCTGATTGGCATGTCCTTGGCGCTGGTGCCTAAAGGAATGAAATAAAATGAAATTATTCCTTCATCTCATACTGCTTCAAGTCCCGACCGCAGTGTCATCAAATATAGTATTCAGCACAGTAAATACAGTAAATAATAAAGTTATTAAAGGAAGTGTGTGGCTTTTCCAAAATAGGACACTAATGGCTTATTTCAATAATTCGTGGAGCTCCGTTCCCGACTCAAACATGTTATATCCATGTCTACTTCGTGGTTTTTTTTTTATTCATTAGAATCAATCAATCAAACAATCAATCAATCAATCAATCAATCAAATGTTTTATTTCCACACTATTTCAAGAATGTACATCAACACAAATGTGTTTTCGTTAAGTACAGTTTAGTGTGTGTGTGGGAGGGGGGTGGTGGTGAGTCAGATAAGCCAATTAAGGCTTTAAGAATGACCCACCCCTTACAAATAAGTACAGT